ACTTCTTTCTTGGCAACTAACTGAAATAAGTACAAAAAGTACAAAAATTTAAATAAAAAAGAAATCAAAATAGATAGAAATATTTTTAAAAACAAAAACTAGCAACTAACAAAATTACTAAACCAAACTAAAATCTAAGTTCTGTCTGGTCTATTCATAGATTGTGCACATGCCAACCTTAAGATTGCTGATATGCTTGAAGACAAACGGGTTGTTAACGTTGATGGCCTTGCGGATCTTGTCGTTCATGGCGTTCACGTAGGTCTGGTACACCGCCATGCACTTCTTTGCCAGGGATGAGGCATAGTAGATGGGAATGTCATGGAGTTCAGGGTGATTCTGCCAGTATTCATCTGAAACAGAGGACATGCAGAACTTCAGTGAGGCATTGTTGAAGATGAAGCTGAAGAGTATGAACTGCTGGACTTTACCTAGAATGAGCAGCAGCTCCTGGGCTCGACCCAAAGCAAACACGGGGATGAGACAGCGGCCCTCACGGTTCACTATGTCATGAACCGTGTTACAGAAACGAGCCTCTCTCTCCTCTCTCTTCTCATGGATGTGTGTGCCATATGTAGACTCCTACATGAACATAAAAGTAGACGGGCATAAAACAGGTTGTAATGTATTTCTTTTGTAAATCAAATGTAAATAACAAGTAAAAAAAGAAATCATGTCACCAGCATAAAATCTAGTACATACTGTGATAAGAATGTCTGGTTTAACGCTGGGAATCTCAGCTGCCATGAGATGTCTGTCTTCTTGACGTGAGAAATCTCCTGTGTACAGTAGCTGAAGAGAATGACCATGATCATTAGCACAAACTGAGTGTGAGTGTTACTGAAAAGATCTGAAGGAAATAACTACACCTACCTTCACTCCTGCAATCTCAATCATGAACATGGCTGCTCCCAAAACATGACCTGCGTGGTAGCACCAGAACTTGATGCCGGCCACCTCTTTCACTTCATGGAAGTTAATGGTCTCAATCTTTTCCATGCTTTCTTCTAGATCAGTCTCGGTGTACAGCATATCATCCGCTGAGATGTTGCTGCAGAATCAAGGAAATCATACAATATATTAGAGCTGGTTCTTTATAAACAAGAAAAAATTGAAAGTGCAGTTTTATCGAAACAAGCGCTTTGGTGTACCTGACTTTCACATAGTCTGAAAGCAACCAGCGGTAAATGGCTTTGGTGGCATGGGTCATAAAAGTCCTCCCTTTGAAACTTGTCTTTTGTAAAAACCATGGCAAGGCTCCACAGTGATCCAAATGAAAACTGGCAGAGAAAAAGAGGAGGTCAGCAGATAGTTAAAGGGGTCATATGATGCTTTTTTAAAGATCATTATTTG